GGAAGTCATACAAAAGAACGCTGGTTTTTAATTTTTTTTTGCATTTTTCGATTATATTCTCGCTTAACTGCAAAAAAATAGAATGACGGACTATTATTTTTACTTTTATTCAATTTTTTATTCATGTAGAATAATGGGAGCATTCAATTTTTTAATAAAAATATTCGTTAATAGAAATTATGTAGTAATACGAACTTGTTAGTATAACAGTAGAAATTGAGATTTCATGAATAAAACCACTTCGATTATTAATATAGTGAAATATAATAATTGATCATAAAACCATGCTTATTCACAAAAATAGCCAGAATCATCGAAAAACATCGGCGATTTATCGCATTTCAATCCACGATCGTTGTTCCGATATATTGCAATTAATCGCCAATATTTTCAAGATTTCAAGGACATGAGCCGAATCTCACTAAATCTAATTAGAGTCAAATCTAAGTAGGTGTGAGTGTGAGAGCATTATAGAGAGGATAGCTAAACCCATACCCTGAAAATGTTTGTTGTTCAGTGAAAATTTGAAAAAAAAACAATACTTCTCTTTTAGAGGTAGGCGCAACAGAAATATTTTATTGCATCTGATGTTGTTGTCGACAGCGTCGAGAGTGCATGGCAAATCATTTTAACATTTATGCCATTTTTTTGAGAGGAAAAAAGAAATGACGTTGTACAGAGGAGAACTTCTATAGAAACAAAAGAAAACGAAAAAAGAATAGTCTTGATTTTGAAGGGCATCAGTTTCTTTCGCTATTTACTAAATAAGAAATAATGATTATGACATCTTTCTTCGACCTATTAAACCAAAGACGACGGTGATTTTTTTGTGGATACGAAGTGTGTATGTTCATGGATGGTGAATACTGTTGTCAGGATGAGTAGCTGGATTTGTGAGTAACTGTGTGAATTTGGATCGATTTTAGGATTTTGCTAGATATTGGCTAGGTTTTTATTTTTCAAGCGAAAATCGAAGGTACTTTCAGGATATTATCGAGATTTTGACTAAAAGCTTGCCAGAAGAAAAAAGAACGATATTTTCAAGATTTGAAATTACCATTCTAGGAATAGTCTCGAAGTTTTCTTTTCAAAATTCAACTTCTTTTTGTCAAGATCAGATCAGGATTGTACTGTAAGGATGTGGAAGTGGGTGTACTTGTTGAGTGTTTTTTCACTCGCATGCATACCCTCCAATAGTAGGAGCAATTAAGTGAAGGACGGACCAGAAAACAAAAAAAAAGAAGAATTGAGTTAATATCCAATTATTGACTTATGAAATGATAAAATTCATGATCCTTCTACACAAAGTTTTACCGGATATAACTTACGCCTATCTTGATTGGAATGTGCGTAAAAGAAGTTTTATGATCGATTCTTTCAAAACAAAATCACTTATATCGAAAGTTTTAAGTAGCTGTCTAAAGAAGTTATTCACAACACATTTTGATGCACCATGATCTTGAAGAAGTAAATAGTATAGATTTTAGTTACTATAGTAATTGTTTCAAAACAAAATATTTGAAAACCTTTGGAAAGTGGTCATCATGGCTAGTGAATACTTTTAAGAGTTTATACTAAAACTACTTAAATATCACCCTTAAAGATAAACACATGTGTGGATCGTGAGGATGTGGGTAGTTGTAAGTATCTAATCAATGTTATACCCACACCCCACCCACCCCACACCCTTCAAATGATCATACCACTGAGCAGTAATTGTTGCCCTAAAAGATTGATTATCCAGGTTTGATGCTCAATTTTATTTCTATCAATGGAAAACATTATGCTAGTCGATGTGAGAAAGTGTTTGATACTTTCTTGATTTTGAAACAAAATTGAATTGCAATGTTTACTCGATCACGACATTGTCTACTAAAATTTTCTAATGTTCGCCAAAGTTCCAAATTTAAAGTTAATTCGAACGATTGAAACTTTCTCAAATAATCTGATTGGGCATCATTCTTACTGGACGATATCAATACTGCTTTATACAGTGACTAACAGTTTTACCAGTACTAGAATCACTTCAGCTATCAACAGATATCTGCATATACAATCTATTAGCAGTAACTATAAAAATCTTCCATTATTTAGCAGTGTCCAATTTTTGACTGTTTTCTTCATTTTTTTTTTTACATTCTTGAGATCATATTTGAATAGAGCAGGGAAAATCTTCATCAACTATGTATTTCACTCATTAGTTTGAGACTTCTTCATCGTATGATATTAGTTCAAAGTGTCACCAAGAAAAATAAAACGTAGCAGCTCTCTCTTTTGTTCCGTTCATATATAAAACAGGTTTTTCTTCGTTAAAACTGCATTTTTAGCGATTTTGATCTGAATTAGGAAAGGTAAATGCGAAGTTTCTGAACCTCTAGGAATGTTAAATACCAATTGAATAATGAAAAGTATTTTTCGATAGGAAAATCAATCATTTTACTCAGAGCTTGATAGAGTCAGACTCATATAATGGCACTACTTGAGCATGATCTTTGTCATGAATTCACAGCTGATTCCTGTTAACATCTAAAAAGAACATGAGTTACTCTCAAGAGACGGAATAGGAAATGATGTATGTGACCCTTGTGGACGAAAAAACAACTGTGTGAAGAGAACTGTAGACGAGAGAGAAAACAATACGTATGGTGCTTGACAACGAAAAGAGTGACGTGTCGTATTGAACGGTTAGGAAATGGGTATCGGTTGGAGGTCAGAGTAAGGGCAACTAATGTTGGACATGAGTTTTATTAACATGTTACAATATGCAATAGATTAAATTATTTTTTTCAAGAATGATCAAAGCAATTTAAATGAAGAAAGGCTTGTTAGTAGATGATATGAGGTTACAGAGCTCTTTTTAAAATAATAATATTCATTGAAACTTTCTAGATGTACCATTCATATCTTATTTACGACTGTTAAGAGATTTCACAAGTTCATTATGACAAGAGCACCAACAGCGAAGTAGGCCAAAAAATCGATGACGATAAAAAAAATAATAAGCATAATATCTTGTAAAAAACTCGATAGAGCAATCTCTCTTATAGCGACAACGATCACATTGTGTGTTGCCAGTTGATGATACCGGATTATTTGTTGGTTGCAAATTGGCCGGATCTAAATAAAATGTTCAGTCTTTTATAGAATTAATTAGTTTAAAAATTTTCTATTTTAATTTCTTATGGGTCTGAGTATGAACCTACTGTCATCTTTTGACAAAAACACATTTCCTATATGAGTCGAATTGACTTAAGTATATAGCTGCTCCATAGATACATGATATATGAGAGAATAATATAGAGAAAGAATATGAAAGCAACTTGAAAATTCTTCATATGATATTGAAGTTGTGCAAGCATAAACAAGAGCATAAAAAAATCAAGAAAGCATACTTAGAATCGACAAAGCCACATGATTCACAAGCATATAGAGAATGCTGAGGATTAATGATTGGAAATGTTATTTTTCTAGCACATCAGTGTAGTCCGAAAGACTCCAACAGTGAATAGTCTACTCGATCATTTCAATGGAAACATCAAGCAATAAACATATTATACAAAATAAACTACCATTGAATGCCTTCATATCGATTGTAAAACGATTGTTAAGTAAAATTTAGTTTATTTATCCTAAGAAAAACTTGTTGTAACCATATTCTATGTTAGATGACGACACTGATTAAATTCGATGAGTCAGTAACATATACTACTTGTGATTGATTGGCTCTAATGAGCAGCCACAAACAGCAAAAACATGATTTTCTAGATGATCCAAAATCATTCTTGTAAATGTTCATCTTTCTTGAAGAAATTTATCAGATTGAGAAAAAAACAATTAAAATTCACTCTGACCCTGGTGTCGCCAGTGAACAATTGATAATAAGATTTATGCTTGGATGAAAGCAAAGCTTTCCATGTCTTTGCACAACAGCTAATGAGACAACTATAGAACTTTCAGCTCAGTTGGGTTCCAAGCTATGAAGTACAATTTTTGATAGATTTGAGTTTACGCTACGCTTTTTTTTGCTTAAGCACGAGTTTATATTCAACAGTTTGCAGGAGAATTCATCAAGAATCACTATGAAACATAATCAAGATCAATAGACAAATTAATTGACCAAGGACTACTTGGCATAGTATAGACAATATACTTTATCATTGTTATTTGGACTACTTTATCAAATAAATCATATCTCTGAAACTGACAACGAATTTTATTCAGCTTAGAAACTTTCTAACCATATGTAAAAGAAGAGCTTTTGGCAGGCTACAAAGCACATGACTAGAATATTTGCTTTTCATCGTGAAAAAAGATACACCTATAAATCAAGGAATTTTAAAGTGCAGCGTGGACGAGTAATAAACTTTCTAAGGTTTTTTGTATCTTCTTCTGTTCCAAGAGTTCAAGACAAGGTGGAAACGGCGGACTTTTGGACTTGAAGTTACTTTGAGCTACTTGTTTCTACTTTGGACTATTTGGGTGGTACTTTGATCTATTTCAAGTAGTCTACTTTGGCGTACTTTTCTACTTCAAGTCCGCCGTTTCCCTCTTGGTTCAAGGGTTAAAGAAGAAGATGAATTACAGTTCGAATACGACGAAGTTCATTTATTTTGGAATAACTGATTCTTTCGCATTAAAAATATAAATTCGAAGATATTTTCGTAAACCTATTATTCCTCAATCTTTTATGATTGTTAATTTTTGTTGGCTGATTTTTAAACAAGTGAAACTCCATCTGACTATCTCGACCAACTGAAATATCATAACATTTATTTGTATTGATTGTCAACAGTACTCAATTGAGGATTCTCAAAATATATTAAAATAGTCATTCTGTTCCTAGAGTGCATTTGATATTTTCGAAAATGTTCATATTTATTGAATCGAATCGATTTGTCAATCCTATGACCATACTTGATCTATGAATACAAGTTAAGCTCTGTTTTATTAGTAGCAAACTCGATACAAAAATCAATGTTGAAAACAATGCAATATATATGTTACGAATCATCAACACATCCAAACCACTTGCATTGTAACCATCTCAGGAAATCTAAATCAAGTGGCACCTGTTGTTTGATCCACATTGCTCGTTGTTGACTGTCGTGATCGCCAATCATTTCTCCAGTATTTGGATGAAACAAAACTTCAAATTCACCATGGTTTGCCGACATCCACGATAATGTCTCACTCAAAAGTTCATTTGGCAAATAGACACCCCATTGTCCATATGGATGTGGTCCATCAACACCCATTACCGGATCCCATACACACATTCCTGTACAATTATCAAATATTCCACCCATAAAACAATTGCCCTCGCATTTTTTGATGCTAAAATAGTTCATAAATTGTTCTCGGATACCTAGAGCACGTGCAGTAACATTTTTGTTTTCGTGAAAGAAATAACTGTGTATATGCCATGAATAGTAGTACAATGGTTCGTGTGCTAATGGAAGTCGACGTAATTGTGGATGAAAATCATTATTCGACTGTCCAGGTAGAGGAGGAAAGAACAAGTCAGGATTGACAGGTACTGGTTGACTAGCTTTTATCGGTATTGCCGAACGAGTATTGACCAAATCTGGACGACGATCATTAATCGTTGATCGAGCTTTGGCACGAATGTATGCATCTTGAAGGGAGCTATGGCAATGTACCATGGCTAACATTAGTAACATCAATACCGCATTGCGAATCATCCTTCAAACAAAGAAAATCAACTGAAAATATTCATGTACGGTAAACACTTTTCATGACGACAAATGGAAGGATATTTAATGATTGTACCTATATACTCTAGTTTTATTGCAAGTTGTGTACAATGACAAACAACGTGAGCTTAAACAAAACGATGTAGATAAATCACGAGAAAGACAACTAGGAAAATTGTAATGCTACACGTCGTTGAGAGAGTAACGATATTGTTGCACTACTTTCAAGAAACTTATGAGAAATTTTATCATGACAATGACTACAACTACACAGTTTCACTTAACTACTTCAGAATCTTGTCTCTTAAATTTATGCTTGACTAAAACAATGTTATTGACATCAAAACTAGTCAATTATCTCTCTTACTTGTTGCTGTATAAATATGGATAGTTATATTTCGTTGATTAGGCGACGCAGTTGAAACAATGTGATGTGCGTAAAATTGCCTCTCTATATAAGACTTCAGTGTCACTGTAGTCGTTATCGTTATCATGTGTTTTCTTTCGAATCACAATGATGCAAGCCATTTTCGACTTTCAATAGATAGAGTTACATTCTTATCACTGATGATAGCAGTAAGAATAAACGAGTCTATATGCGACTTTCTTTTTTGCTTTTTTTTCACTGTCATCATGACTATCTATCTTTATTGCTGATTTAATAACAAAGTCGAATCATAAACAAAACATGTTTAACTAAGACGTATAGCATAGACGATTCACTGTGCATGTGTGATATTCCTCAGCTTCAAATACAGCTCAAAATTTATCGTGAGCAGAATTACCCTGATGGAAGAGACCTGTAAAGGGTAATATGACTCATCTGCCTCTAGAATCGCTTGATTTATCCCTATAATATATCATTACACTTGTACTTATTTCACATAAGGAAAATGTAGTGCTAACACGAGCTGTTTTCTACTCTCCCTCTGCTTTTTTGGTTTTCAAAGTGATCATGGTCAGGAGTTGTAGTGATAATAAATATTGAAAAAGAGTTTTTTTTTTAACAGAGCTCATTGTACAGCTAAAATGTGACTCTAATACATTTTCATATTCTAAGTCACAGAACAGATTGTATGGTGTGAAGTCTCTCTGTAAATCTTAAATAGATCATATCAAATGTACTACTTTTCTAAGGTATTAAAATCGAAATATATTTTGTATTTTATCATCATCATCTTACACTAGGCATTGCTATCGTTCTATTTGCTTATCATTCTTTAACTTTTTTTTTGTGAGTCAATGTTTGTTTTGTTTTTGTTTCATGATGACTAGTGTTTCGCTACATATTTGCCTCAAAACACACAATCATACTTTTCAGTTCAATTCAGAATCAAAACAATGATTCCTATCATTCTACATTACTTCTAGTAGTTCATATGATGCGTCTCGACACATGAAGCATAGTAAAATGGTAATGATCATTTCTCTCGTTACTTTTCAGGATACCTAATCAATAACAACTTTCTAACGCCAGAGTTGATTGGGTCTACTTCTAAATATCCTTCGATAAGTCGAGAAAATGATATGTTATACAAGAAGTAACGGAGCGTGGCAGATAAAGGTTAGACAGTATGGCATATAGAACGATAAGATTTTTATTGACCTTTAGTATTTTACACTACCTCTTGAGGATACCTGCAAGAAAGGAATGAATAAAATGAAGGGTCTCGAGTTTCGATTCGAAGCAATACTCATTATTTCCCAACAAACTTCGCAAAATAAAAGTATAGTAATTATTACAGGGGTCGCAGCGGGGCGTTACCAAAAAGAAGGATTTTGAGAAGGAATTTTTCAAAAACAAAAAGAAGAAAATCCGAAAAAAAGGAGGAAAAGAAGGACTTTTCATAAGTCCTATGCTGCAACGGTAAAATGATATTAGAAGACCAATTGTGAACAATAGAAATGAGTCGAGACGAAAATGAATTTCAAACATGAACAGTTGTCTCCTCGGCATGTGATATGTTTGTGTAATACTGTCGTTCTCATATCTCAATGACCCTCTCGGCAGTTCTACAGGTAACACACGCGCCTCACCCACATGGATAGCTATACGCCCTGCATCGATTACGAAAATTTGTGTATTATCGAAAATATTTCTTGATAGGGTATCAAAGGTATGTAATCATTAGAAAATTATCAGCTTTTTTCGCAGATCGATAGACAGACTGAACTTTGGAGGATAAAGTACTAGTACGTTTGGAAATTCGACAGAGCAGTCAGAAAAATCTTTTAGAGTTTCTTTGACAAAGTTTACAGAATCAAATCGAAGCATCCGCAGAAAGTGCAGGATCCAAATTCTTGATTTTGCAAAAGTGAAAATAAGTATGCTAGGATTTTAGAGCATTGTCGGCTTCGCAATGTCACGTGTTTTTTAAACTAACAAAATGAATTTGAAATGCTCTACTGATGTATCACCTTCCGTCTTAAAGGATCATCTGACGTCAAACCTAACAGATAGTTGCATTCTTTTTGCAAAAATAGCTACATGACATTACCGAGTCGAGAGTGTTGTACAATTCTAGCATACTTATTTTCATTTTTGAAAATCGAGGATTTTGATATTGATAATCGCTTACGGGTTTGCCCATTTGATTCTGAAGACTGTTGACGAAACTCTGGAAAACATTTCTGATTCCGCTGTTCGGCTTCAGTCATGCTAGAAATTTATCCTAAACGTTCTAGCTCATTTATCAACTCGCGAAAACAAGTGCTCATTTTGTAGCGTATGATTCTCTGTCTATCTTCGAAAAAATTTGTAACGCAACGCAAAGTGGCTACTTCTATCCTTCACTTTTCCAAATACTGAGACATAATTACCTTAAACACACAAATCCCACCTAGACGTGAGAAGTTCAAGGTAACTCGAAGTTAAGTTAACTGGTTTACTAAATTTTAGCGATGAAAGCTGAATTCAACCGGTAAACATTTTCCAGCTTGTAGAAAGATATTGTTCCTCATTCGGTATATCTGCTACATCTCACTTGAATCGCGATGCCTTATTACTCCCTCAATCCAGATACACTTTTTTTCGAGCTTCTTGTTTTAACCGGCGTTTCAAGATAGTTTTATGTTCGTTAACGATTTGATGTAACTGGACATAAATCGAAATTTCTTGATCTATGCGCATGTGCACGGTTTCAAATACTTCTCAAGTTCTTTAATCGGTGTAAAGTTCAATTATGACTCATCAGTTTTTCGACCAGAAAAGTCAAAAAATTTTCTTGAAATCCTAACTCAATCAAAACTTCGCCAAGCATAAAAATAACTATGGTTGAAACGGAGAGGACTTGTATCATGCTTGAAATTGATTGATCAACTTGAGTTGCGTGGACGATTGACAGTTAATTGTGTGTGGAATTGAAAATAATATACAAGTATAATCCCTTTCTCGTCCACAAGTACCATCTTATTTACTATCAAATGTTGACTACCTTTTTCCTTTGGTTTATCAACAACAATACCAACAAAAACTGTGTTTCTTACATTCTGCTAAGTAAAAGTCTTTGCCAAACATCGATACATGATGAATGGCTAATAACGTAAGTATATGTAAGACTGGCTATAATGTAGCTCAGCTTTGATTATGTTTGGTTACTGAGTATATGCTTACAATTTTGAGCGGTGACCGAATTCTAGCGAAGAGCTATTTTAGATATCTCAAGTGCTGTACATATGTGCCGCGTAAATTGAAGTCTTATATACATATCTTAACATAACTGGGGCGAGCTTTTTATTGAACTTATGGTGAATTAAACATTTTCTGGAGCTCTCAGAGCTCTCTATCTAAGCATTGCTCATATGTTTTCCGAAGTTTCTGGAAGCCTATTCATATGAAAAGGAGAAAAAAAGAAGGAAAAGAAGGACCGCTGCGGGACCTATAATTATTTAACTTGAATGGCTTCGAACTTCGAATCAATAATAGTTTATTTCAAGATGATCGGACGTCTTGAATTGTTACCGAACATCTCTATCTTCTGCTACGATGATAAAAAGTAATAGTTGAGTCGTGATTGAGAACATGCTCATCATTTTTGTCGTTGATTTGACTAGCTTGAAATGTCACAGTTCTAAAAATTAAGAACAAATACTTAAAAGAACACTCTAAAAGGGTCAATTTAAATGCAACATATTTGACAATTGCTTTGTGTAAAAGCTAAAAATCAATGAAGGCATGCTCCAGGACTCGAAAGAAATCCAACTTCTCTAACTTGAACTCGATTTGAGTCAGTAAGAAAAAGATGAAGCAAGTTGTGTTTTAGTAATTGAATCGTTAACAGTGATTTATTTTGATTGTCATTCAACAACTGAGTCGTCAGGAAGAAATAACGGTGTGTAAGTTTGTGTGTGAATAGTTGTGGGTCTTCTCTTCATCCCCACCCATACTTTGTACTGTGTCCTAGATAATTCTTTTCATCAATACAAAACATACTTTTTCGATTATTTACATAGAAATGATCTCTTTACAGTACAATATTTGAATTATGCTGAACTTCAATGAGTCTTTGTATATGGATATTGCTTGTTTATAAGGGTAGCTTGTCTAAGAGATACAGGTTCTATACCATGCAAAATATTCTATGGAAGCAAGCTTGATATTTGATACACTAGAAAGTTTTCTTAGATGAATTGGAATATCCAGTTTTTTGAATAGCTGATCCTGACGTCACTATATTATTTGATTCTTTAGATCTGGATCGTGTTTTTACATTTGGAGCCGTTGTATAAAAATCACCTTTGTAACCGTATTCACTGCAACTCCATTTACCATATCCTTTGACAGGTGGTGCTTTTTCATGGATAGATTGAGCATTAGTCCATTTATTATCATAGTAAGAACTACCAGCTTGTGTGCGCGGGTCTGAACTACCACTATAACAGCGTTCGTGATACATTAAACGAAGTTTACGTCCATCGCGTATTACTATTGGTTCACCTTGGTAGATTACAGCATGACATTCTCGACAACTCCAGCCAGTACGGTTTGCATGACCATGCGTTATAGTCCAATAAGGTTCAAGCGACATTTCGTATTTTCAATCTACAAAATTAAAAAATGAAACATATATTCAATCGTTGACGATACTTTTTCTCTTCTCTTTAGCTCAAATCTCAAAGGTAACACATAGTCTTATCTATGAATTGCATCTAGCAATTTACTTTCACATGCGTCTCTATATCTCTTTCTGTTCAAAAAGTAGTCATTTTTCTCATGATAACCAAATTAATAATAAATCTGGAAGAACACAGATGATGATTAAGTTACAAATTAAAATCATTCGTAAAATTCTATGTAAACGAGAGGTAGAGTTAGAAGCTTTCTCGATGTGCAACTCTTTATAACCGTTGTCATTAATCTAATTAATACATGAATAAAATTCATCAATGGCAAGAAACAACTTACTTTAATTATAAAATTGTACCTACTTCATCTTGTGTCTGTAAGATTGATATTTGCAAGGTGAAATTATCGAACTTTTTATTTTCATTTTATGTATGATAGATCATGTTTCAATGCTCACATCAAAAAAATCTTTTCTCTTCTATATAAAATAAAAAAAAGAAAATGTTTGTTCGATGCACGTGCATTTCTATTTTGTATTTCTTTCTCTTTTCACCTGCAAAATATATATGAGTGAGTTTGTGCGCAATTTAACATTCCATACAGAAGAAAAGAAAAAAAGCTATCTGAGAGGACAAATCTTACGACATGATGTAAATATAATGTATGTATGACATAAAGAACAAGTAAAGCTATTTAATATGAAATTACAATGAAAATTTACAACTACACTCTTATCTATTATATCCTTGAACTTCCATTACATTTAATAATATTATAAAAACTAAAAGGAACTAAGTCCATTAATATTAATTTTTTCCTCCACAATAATCAAACACTAAAAACTAACACGTTTTAGCATGTTATATATACAAAATCGCTGTTCGATACAGATTCACTATACTTTGATTTCAATAAAGGGACAAAGTAAATAATTGAAAACAGTTGATATTATCATTCATGTAAGCTTGACTGTTTTTGTGCTCGTCTCACCAAAATATCATTTAAAAACGTAGTTAAGTCAATCAGTGTGCAAACGTACCGTATTTAACATCAGCTAATGAATTATATATGATGATCTCTATTTTGAGACTAATCTCGACATGTTATATGCATGAGTTTTTTTTACTTTTATCGTAACCAATCAAATCAAATGTTACTGACCACAAAATGTAGATTAACTAAAATAAAGGTTTTCGGCTAACTAAGTTGAATTAAATTGAAATTATAATTTTTCCATTTGCTTCTCTTTCAGTAATGAAAGAACATATACAATTAATTTGAACTTCTCGAACAAATCATTTAGTTGTTGTCAACATTTTATTGTTTGTTTTATTGGAAGATCATTTATGAATGACTAGATTTTTTGATAAAAGAAAGAAATATTTTTAACACTAAACTTTTACTCTTTCATTGATATGAAAACATCATATGCTGAGACATTTCTGTATTTTGTATCGCAACATTCATTTTACTTTTAAATCACAATAACAAATCGATGAATGTGTTAACGATAGGAAAAGAAAAGAAATGAGAAATTATTATTCTATATAGAGATCAATTTTATATTCAATAAAATTATTCATCTTGTTATTGTTTTTTTCTTCTTGTTAATATTATTATTATTATTAAGAATGTTTTATTTGAAAGGATAATAATGAAAGAAATGTTTTTTTTTTTTGTTTTGGTTCTTTAATGAAATACATTAAAAATTTCAATAAAATGATTAAAAGTTCTAATAATAATCAATGTTTTTTAAATTGAATATGAATTTCACAATATTTTCCCGTAAAATAATTTGTACAAAGACAACGACTTTGTGTAGCAATACATGTACCATTATTTAGACAAACATTATTTTTTTCATTACAAAATAAACTTTTTAATTCACATTTAAGTCCACCAAAACCTTTTTCACATAAACATTGTCGTGTTATTGGATTACATGTTCCACCATGTTGACATTCATGTAAAAGACAATAAAGTTCTCCTGTTACATTAACACATGTATCAGCTAAACAAACTTGTTCAGGATATTGACATTGTTGTTCACCACATTTAACTATTTCATCACAATATTTACCACCAAAACCTTGTTCACATCTACATATACCATCAGGACTTGTTGGAGATTCCAGACATGTTCCATTATTCATACATGGATGTGATGAACAAAATGATTTATTTAAATTTTCTGAACAATTTAAACCTGAATATCCATATGTACATAAACATTTATATGTTTGACTAATTGTTTCATGTACACATATTCCATTATTTTCTAAATATAATATTTAAAATAAAAATAAAAATTAATTAAATTATTTTTTATTTAATAACAAACCACACGGATTCGGTGCACATGGATGAAGTGGTATATCACAATAAGATCCAGTTACATCTTTTGGACATAAACATCTTCCATATTTATTATCAATTAAAGCACATTTTCCTCCATTATGATGACAATTTTTTTTACAAGCTGTTGGTGTTATATATTCACAATAAGGACCAGCATTATCTGATGGACATAAACAAAATCCATCACCAGTATGATTTAATACAATACAAGTTGAACCATTTCGACATGGAGAAAGTGAACAAAATGTTCGTTGAGGATATTCACATAAACGACCTGAAAAACCTGGTTGACAAAGACATTGACCATCAACACCAGATAATGGTACACATGTTCCTAAAAAATAATATTTATTATATTTATTCAACTGTTTTTTTTTTTTTCTTTATTTAAAAAACAAACCATTATTTCGACATGGATTTAATTGACAAAATGGAATACGTTTTTCACAAAATTCTCCAACATAACCAGGTTCACATAGACAAATTCCAGCAGGTGATTGAACTAAAATACATGTACCATTATGTTGACATGGAGAATGACTACAAAATGTTGTATTTCGTAAATCATGTTCACAAAATGGTCCAGTAAACATTGGTGGACATGAACATTTATATCCATCATTTGATACTAAACATTTATTTATTTATTTATTAAATAAGATAATAATTAAATCTTACTATTATAACAAATTCCTCCATTTAAACAAGAACAATCACCAAAATTTTCTTGACAAAATTTTCCAGAATGTCGTGAAGGACAAAGACACATAAAATCATTATTTGATGATAGAAATAATGAAGATTCTTTTGATGATATTGGTGAACATAAACCTTGATTGTAACATGGATTACTTTCACATGGTTTTTGTGCATAATTTAATTTTTCACATAATGAACCATGAACATACTATTCAATTATTTAAAAAAAAAAATAAATTAAAAATTAAAATTAACTTACAGGTATACAATGACAACTAAATGTTAATTTCGAAACAAGTTCACATGTTCCAGCTCGACATGGATTTGGTTCACATGGATTTGTCCAATTTTGAAGATGAATATCTTAAGTAGATTTATTTTATTTTTTTTTTTATTTATTTAACAAATATTCTTCATATACATACTTGAAAAATGTAAAGATCCAAATGTTCGTCGAATGCAAAGAATAAATATTAATAGAAATGTTTTATCAATTGAAAAATTAGTCCACCTATATATCTATTTTATAATTAAACTAAATCATTTTAGATATATATTGTCTTACCGCATTGTTCTCTTCTATTAGAAATAGATTAATGTGACTATTTGATGATCAGTATGTATTCTTCTATTGTTTATTTCGAGATAAGAGAATAAGATATAATAGGATTGTCTCGACCATACCTATTCAGAAGAACAATGTTTAACCACTTGCAAAGTATCCTGTCTGTATGTGACCTTTTTTTTTTTTTTTTTATTTTCATTGTTTTATAATCACTAATTAGAATAAGAACGACTAAACAAACTATCAAACGGAAGATAATAAACATAATCCGAGTGCTAACGAAATTTTCTACGACATCGACGTGATCGGACATGAATACAAAATGATTGACAACAAAAAAAAAAACATTCAAATATAATCAATTAAACATTAAATAGATTACTAAGACATTTATATACACTCATTCAGAAGAATATATCTATAGAAAAAGTCTCTATTCATTCAGAGATATTCTACGAAATTCGTTCATGATCTTTTATTAAAAGAAAAAAAGAAGTGTCAACTCCTATTTTAACTCTTGATTTAAACTACGAATTTTTTCTTGACTTTTATTTATATTTTTTATGCGATTAACCAGTTATGTTTCATCATCATCAATGATAAACGAAAAGTTTGATGATTTTATCCTAAACTAATCTATTATATAAAAGTTTTTCTGTAGAAAAAAAAAGGCACTAAGAAAAAGTAACACTACGTGATGATATTACCATTGAACATATGAAAACCAATGAATATTCATATTTAATTATATTTTAACTAATATGATCACATTGAAATATGTCAATATTTATTATTTACATTTATTGTCTTAGATATTTAAAATAAAAACATGATCTATTTATTGCATCATATTCAAAGATAATTGAATGAACAAACTCCTTTTTTGACAATCTAATCTAAATTATGTTTACTTGAGCTATAATCTTAATACTTTCTTTATCTACATATCATAAACTGTTGTTGTCAAAAGAAGTCCTATGTCAAGCGGTACGGCACATCGGTACGTCTCAGTTCGTGTGCAGTACACAAACCGAACGCGCGCTATGTATGTTAAGTGTACGTTATATCTACTACGAACAACTTTCCAAGAAGAAGAGTTCGTAATCAGACAATGAGTGTACAAAGAGTATATTACAGCTGAAGAAAATTTTGAAAGCGTTATATCTCCGCAAGAGTTAAATTTTTTGAGCTGCGGTTTCCGTCAGAATGTATAGTATACTTGTCAAAAGTTTCAGCTTGATCTGTCGTCAAATGTTTGTTTTAGATAACAAAAAAGAAAAATCATGTGTTTCAGTTTCGCTCAAAATTATTCGATACAGGTTCCTATAAATTAAATATGAAAATATGAAAGTGGTGATTTTTTATTTCACCTGTTTGATCTCTGTGGCAGCTGAAAACGATTTATCCTACGAAGTAATACGTGTTTTGCAGTTAAAAAACTATTTCTAGTCCTAAAAATAGCGATATTGAGAAATTTTGACTCATTAAAATCGTCATATTTGCATGTATCATTGTATGAACTGTAGGAATAATTTTGGTCGACACTGTATATGAAAGTTATTTTTTCTAAAATTCATTTATTAATTTGTTGTTTTTAATAATTATATTTATCATTTCAATCAATTATCTCAAAAGATAAAAATTTAGAACGATCTTCAAAACGAACTTATTTTTTTTTTTTATGTAAAAAAAGATTGTTTCACTTTTTCAATAAATTTAATATCAGTAGGGAAAAGGCGCAATAAACAACGATCGATAGACTTGTTGTTCATTTATGTACATCGATCGTTCTCTTCCTGTACATGAGTGATATCATTATTCCTGTTTATCTATTTGCTAATAATTATCAAAACATAACAAGGATAGTCATAGTCGTCGGACGGTCACAAATAACTATTATGTTTTTGTTTTTTTAGATAGCCTTCCTCTCAGTAAGGAAACAAAGGACATTAGCCATACGTCTTTGTTAGTCACAAAATGAGAGAATTAACAAGATTATTTTGCTTTCACTACTTTTTGACAGTTTATTATCGAAAATAAGCACAAAGAGGAAACGTAGTTTAGACTATTGAAGTGAGCGATTAAAACGTAAACAAGCGTCAATGAGTTGATATTTAAATTGTTCTTCATTGAATATCGCTTGATAGGTTTATGACTCTCAAAAACACAGTATTATGTAGGTTGTTTTAAATTCAATAGATTTCTGCTTTTAGATTTAAAAATAAACTCATAATATTCGTCTCATATGGCTAGTAATATAAAATTATCAACAGTTCCGGCTGAAGACAGCAACACAACAGCTGATGATACTGCCGATGTTGAAGAATCAAATGATAAGGAAAAGAAACGAAAGAAAATGCAAGGTTTTGTTAAAATTTTTGTACGAGGTCATTTATTTGAAATGGCGAGAACAACAATAATGCGTTCAAAATTTTTATGGCAATTAATCAACGATGAACCAAATTCAGAAGATGGATTTTACCATATTGATCGTGATCCAAAAAAATTCGAATGTTTAATGAATTATTTAGTAGAAAATCATGTATCAGATATTTTACCATGCAGTGTTCGAGATTTATATAATGAAGCATTATTCTATAACATTGATTTACCTGATGATGATTGTTATGGAACAACATTATCGTACATTTTGAAGAATATAAATACGTATGATATTCGTGGTAAATTGAAATCCTTTGCCGATGGAAATGGTATTTTTGGTTGGGTCGAGTGGAGACAACGTATTTCACTTTATATTGAATTTCATTGTCATCGAACAATCGATTTAAATATTGTTAGGAAATATATGCTTGATCAACATTCAAAACAAATATTTATGATACAATCAAACAATCAAATGGATACAAGACATCCACCTCTTACTGTGTTTGAATGTCCAAAAACACGTAAGCATCATAAAGAAATAGAAAGTTAAAAGAACAAGTTAGATCTGCAGGCTGTGACCAGGAGAAAAGTTTAGTTGTTGAAGGCGATAAGTTTTGAATACTAAAACCGAATCTATTGCATTACTTGTCCGAATTCCGACGGTTATTTTTTATAAAAATATATTCTTGGAAAGCAAAATTAAACAAAAAGTTGTTTAAAGTAGTGTTTCTACTTTTTTTTTGTAGATCGTCCAAATAAAAGCTCAAAAACTCCTCCTGAAACTGCATCGTCTTCACCTTCTTCAAGTGAATCGTGTCCAGAATCAGCCAAAGATTTAATAAAACAATTAACAGTTGAACATGTTAAAACATGGCTCCAACAAACAAGATTTCATCATTTAGCTGAAACATGGTTTGCATACAACGTCAATGGTAAAGAATTGCTTGAGATAAGTAAGACTGGACATTTGACAAATGGTACATTTATGTTATCTGAATATGAATTAGTACAGTTCAAAGATATTTTAAATCGTTTTGGTTTTGAACTAGAACTTGAATAATATTTTGTTTAGAGAATATTACTTTTGATAGAAATAAAAACTGTTGTATCTTTGTTTGTATTTGATCTAAGATAAAGACAATCAACTTTGATTTTAATTTAAATTGTTCAACTGATGAAAAACAGACAAATCAGTTTCATTCCTTATTTCTTCTTCGATGAGTGAATAGTATTACTTCAAGTTGATCAACAAGCACCTAACTTTACTTTATAGAATACAGTGAGACATTCACAAATAACATCTCTATGGACTAAAGCATTATTCTTGCACATTGAATATTTTCCTTGTTTACTATAAAATAATATTATTCTATTGATTATTTTCGAAGAAACCATTTTTGATAATTAACTAACTATCTGCTATAAATATTCTTTCTTGTACTTACTATTAAGTCTATAAAAGGAAATGTTAAAGATCACATCGATTTTTTTATTAGAGTTTTTTTTTTGTACATCGAATTATTACATCGTACAACAATACTTCTTCAAATAAATCAATTATCATCGTTAAATAAGCAAATTAATTGTAGTATTATGTTAAGAACTAAATAATATATAAGAGCGGATCAGAGTGATTAAGAATAGGCATAGAAGAAAGAACATGAATTGCAACTAATCATCATTGTTCAAGAATTACGTTCAACTCGAGATGATATTAAAAAATATGAAAAATAAAATGTAACAATTGTTGCCATTTCTGTTGATTCAATGTTTATGTTAGGCAAATTATCGCCAAGAACAAAAAATTAAATTTGATTTATTATCTGATTTTAATAAAAAAAAGTCTCCGAAAAGTATGATTCACTTTATCATCAATTTTCATTATTTGGTCTTAAAAGTATCATAAAACGAAGTGCTTTTATTATTGATAAATAAAGAATAATTAGATTGGCTGAGTAATTGTTGATCCGGAAAAAATTCCAAATTTTGATAAAGTTAAAGAAACATTAGAACAATATGAAAAAATAAAATTATCTTTAATATTATTTAATATTGATCTCGAAAATAAAAAATAATTAAATATCATTCAATCATTTTGTTTATCTTTTTCTTGACTCTTTTACTAAATATTTTAATATATAAAATAAATATTTTCAAATAAAGAAAATTGATTCTGCTATTTTATTAGTTTTCTATATAAATACATGAGGAAAAAGTTGAACAAAAAAATTTTCCTATGTATATATTACTTGTTATATTCTTACATTCAGGCGCCAATGCTTAGATTCACGGCAAAGATGTTAATTACCAAAAATCTTATTCAACTTATAGAAATAAAATTTTATCAATTGAATAATGACGAAAAATAAAAATCTATTGTAACTTCGTTATTTTTTTTGTTTTTATTTGCTCAATAAGCATCGAAAACTTTAAATGATGTTTTATTCTAACTGTTGATATGTTTAATTCGTTTACAATTCTTTTCTATTTATATATTATCTTGACTATTAAAACTTGAAATAGAATAATATTATAAATTTTATTCAACGATTTGCAATTTTGTTCAATAATCAAGAGCTTATTCAATTAATATTTGTCAAACAGACTAAACTTCATAAGTAAAATATTGAATGATAATAATGATTTCAAAGTATCATCTCAATTCTGTACTTATCTATTTTGTCAACTATTCAAAATAAATGTGGAAACCTCAGATTTAAATCCGAGTGTTATGTGTACTTCAAATAGTAAACAGATAAGTCATTATCGCATGTCTAGACATCAAAATTATCCTCATAAGCCGTTTTTCTTAAAACTTGATTTCTATTGGTTACTGCTCAACTAGTATGATTTTGGGGCAAGTGGAGTTCAGATTCAAGTTCTCCGCCACAGAAAACCTTTGTTCAAATTTGATAAAACCTCGAAGCATGGCTTTTCTGACTGGAAGATGGAGCTTTCATTTTCGCATCAATCAGAGCGTGAACAAATACAGAAGCAATTTCCGTTTAAGTATCTTTGCAATAGGTGACTTAGCTTTCTTGTTTCTTAATGTTTTATATATCACTTTGTAGCCCGTGAAATTCTCTATCGAATGATATATAATAGCTGACGTTTTGTTTGATTATGAGAGAAAAAGTTTTTTTTTACAAAAACCGGGATAGGTCAATGTTTGCATAGAAAAGCATAGGAAATAAGGACATTTTTGCGATAACTCAGCGATTTCTTGACGAATCATTCTCATCTTCGAACTCGGTCAAGATATTGATGAGACAATTCTGTGTGGAAAATTTCATCACAATCGGACTACTCGTTGAAGAGTTATTATGTAAACGGTCGAATGGACGGCCGGATACACTGACTGATTCTATAGTGTACTCACTTTTTGAGTACACAATAGATGTTTTCTCTTTTACTTTCATTCTCATTATCGACAGCATTCAGGTGTGAGTGTGGAGGTAAAGAAGAGCACTATCCCATCCACATCCACACCCACATCCGGAAGATAATAAATATAATCCGAGTGCTAACGAAATTTGCTACGATATCGACGTGATCGAACATGAATATAAATGATTTACAACAAAAAAAACATTCAAATATAATCAATTAAACATTATATAGATTACTAAGACATTTATATAGAATTATTCAAAACAATACAATCATTATGACAAATTTTGTTTTTTTTTTGTTCTATTCAATTTTCTAATCATATAAGACAACTATTATATGATTTAAATTACTTCAAATAATTAATTCTCACATTTAATTAGAAATTAAATTATTTTATTTTCTTTCATTATAATAATAAGTTACATTTTCTTGTCGTACGACATATCAATGAGCTACATTTATCACAAATGATTCTTATTTTGTAAATATATATTCAGTTTACACTATAATGAGAACGATATTGTTTTATTTAAATATTTAAACAAACACTTTAAATAAATAAATTGTTTTTTTTTGTAAGAACTTCTACATATAATAAATCAGTCTATAGTAGAATAGATCTCTGCAGAGAAACATAAGAAAATCGTTCATTATCTATTATTATAAGAAAAAGAAAACGAAACATCAACTCTTGACTTAAACTGAGAATTTTTTCATGGTTATTTATGTATTTATTTATTTATTTATTTACTATTCGACTGACAGATATATTTCGTCATTATCAATGATGAACGAAAAGTTTGATGATTTCATCTGCAATTAATCTGTTAGATAATCAATTATATTTTAGCTAATATGATCACATTCAAATATGCCATTATTTATTATTTAAATTTATTGTGTTAGATGTTTCAAATAAAAAATGATCTGTTTATTGCATTATATTCAAAGATAATTGAATGAATAAACTCGTTGATTAACCATCCTGTTTAGTCATTTAAAATACCAATTTTTCTATAAATCAATATTAAATTATTATTTTCATCATTATCATTAATAAATGCTTTTAAATTCTAACAGATTTATCTTTATTAAATAATAAAAAAAATTAAGAAAAAAGAGAAAAGAAATTTGAAATAGAATCATAATTATACTAGAAAGAATTTCTTAAACGGATAAATCATTTTATTTTTAATAGATCGAAATAAAAGTTCAAATGAAACTGTTAGAGGTTAACTCATTTATTTAGCTCGTATGAAAAGAACTGAACGACAAATTTGTAGAGATAGATCATTGAATATTGATTCAGATCGACATTGAAAAATTTATAATGATTTCTTCAGTCTCAATATCGATTGAACTCAAGTTATTATAGTCGACAACATGACATTCAATCTAATAGTTCAATATTGAATTTATTTTATTAAGACCATTAATTGAGACTGAGAGAGAGAGATCCATCGAAAAATCTTTCTGTAAGGAATGAATATATATTTCACCTTTTTGTGAAGAATCATTTTATATTTAATTGACAATTATCAAAAAAGATGCATGTTTTATAGATTCAACCTGGTACATATGTATGTAACATGACTCAATATTATATAATTTATATTCAATATAATCAAGATTGAATATGATAACAAGTAAGAAGTAAAACCATTATATTATATGAATAATATTATTTCTACTTCTCTTATCAAATATATAAAATATTGATCTCTTTCGACCACCAATAAATAACAATGTTAAAACGAAGTAAAAACAAAATTTCATTTGGAGATAAATAGATAATTTTTTGAAGTTTTTGTTAATGAATATATGTGTTTTTGTATATTTTATAGAATAGAACACTGCTTTTCTTTTAAATAAAGATGAAAAAAAACAAAAGAACATTATTAATTGTTGCTCTTTTGATTTTAGTCTCAGTGATGATTAAGTTTTCGTTCGTTTATTTTCTTCTCAGTAGTAGAACAGTAAAAACAAATGATTGTGAATGATATTTTTTAATACGTGAGTCGGAATAGAAATATGTGATTAGCATTTGCTCTTTATTTAATCTACGAACCAACGATCAATTTATAATCAAAGAAAAAAACAAAACAAAACTAGAAAAAGTTATAGTTTATTTGTCAAATATAATCATCATCATTTTCTTATTGTACTTTCTCTATTCTATATATAATAGGAAACAAGATATGATCAAAGATAGAGAATAATATTCAATAAAAATCAATATTTGATTAAATATTTTATAAAGATAATCAATAAAAAAGAATGATTATCAAGGACAACAAAAAAAAAAAAAATCTATTTGTTAAAATTGACTTTAACGTGTGAAGTAAAAAATAAAGACGATGAAAAAAAAACGTGTCGTTCGATTCATCATTAAGAACGATAAGAAAAAAAAAAGTGTGCAGCTGATTCTAAAGGTAAAATATTGATAGAAGTACTCTCCTATAGATAATAATCTAGAACGTGTTTTTTTTTTTTTTTTGTTCGGTCAAGAGATATGCTTCAGCAAGCTTGATTTATATTCTAATGAAAAATAGTGATATTATATTTAGTTAAATATTATTACTTTAAATAATGGTATATTTAAACGATTTTTCTTATTATAATCAAATATTTATATATTATTATATTTAGTTTCGTGAAAAATTAACA